GCTGAGACTGGAGACCAGGGCTGTGTGACTCCGAAGCCCACACCTGCTGTCACTCACTGCACAGGAGGATTCATGTCACCAGCTCACCGATAGCTTTTCTCACAGTGAGACAACTTGAAAGGGCCAGCGTCTGCCCCTTGGCATGTGTTCAAGTACCTCTGAGTGAAGGTAACTGGAGTGACAAAGACATTAAGAGGTAGTAGAGCCCGGCCGGCTTGGCTCAGTGGTTGAGCATCAACCTATGAACCAGGAGGTCACGGTTTGATTCCTGGTCAGGGCACATGCCCGGGTTGTGGGCCCAATCCCCAGTGTGGGGTGTGCAGGAGGCAGCAGATCGATGATTCTCTCTCATCATTAATGTTTCTATTTCTCTCTCCCTCTTCCTTCCTCTCTGAAATCAACAAATCCTATAAAATAAAAGCATAGTGTGCAAATTGTCCCCTCAACCAAGAATTTGTCCAGGAATTCAACCAAGGGGCAGGGCTGGCCAGGGGAAGGGAGGGAGGATCTGGCAGCAGCTGCTAGGGACCGTACCAGTGCACGAATTTCATGCACTGGGCCTCTAGAGTGTGTGTGTGTGTGTGTGTGTGTGTGTGTGTGTGTATTTTTTTTTTAAAAAAAAAGAGGTAACAGAGTCACTACATTTTAGTTTTGATACCCCCCAAGATTTGTCTTATGAAATATCTGACTGAGAAATACCACAGAGGGTGAGAAAGCCAGGGTGCCCCCAAATCAGCAAGGCTCAGCAAAACTGCAGCCAGAAACCACTAAGTTTCACCACGTCTATTCATAGCACAGAACAAACAAGCAAAAGCAGAGCATAAAGGAAATCCTGACAACACAGCCAGCCCCTCTGAGCTGGTGGGCGGTTGTGGAAGAGTAGTGGTCTACACACCTGGCACCCCGGGGTCAGGTGTCTCTCTGTCCCTCTCCAGTTGCAGTCACCACCCAGAAATGACTTAACTGCTTCGGGTCCTGAGGGCTCCTCCTTCTAGGGCCATAACGTAATGCCCCATCTATTTTATGTCATTATTTACATCATCATCGTTATCACCAACATCATTTACTACTCTATTATTACTATATTAAGGAAATTCAGAGAAAATAATCTAATGGAAATGCTTTGAAGAGCTTAAGTTACCCCAAAAAAGGCATTGTTTTGATCACATTGACCACAAAGATTTACCAGGAAGGAAAATCATTTCACTCTCTTTTGCCAGTGTCTGCTTTAGAATCCTGGAATATTTTCAATAAAATTTTATAGAAAGTTCCATACCCGCATATTAACAAACTCTGACATACATTTTAAGATAAATTACATTTTGAAGTGAAAATTGATTTTATTCATATGATCTCCACTAAAGGAAAAAATTTATTAATAGCCTAGTAGCAATAAGTTTGGACTCTGAGCTCTTGGGTTCAAATCCCAGCTGATTTTTACTAGGGAGGTGATCTTGGGTATGAGACTTAACCTTTCCCTACCGCATTTTTCTCATCCATAAAATGGAGACAATGATAGCATAGAGGTTGTTATGGTGATTAAATAAAATGGATTTGTCAGGATATCCAATACAGAGTTAGCAATCAACAAATATTATCAGTTTTCATTTTCTTAAAAGGAAAACAACAAAAGGAACATACAGGGTGGGGCAAAGTTTACAATTGTGAGTACATGAAACACAGAGTGTATTCTTGTATAATTATTTATTGTATTATTTTCCATATGAACAACTGTAAATCTATTTTTGCCCCCCCCTTGTATTTTGCAAGACCTTCTTTCACAAATGTTAGAGGATCCTAAAATAATATCAAAAAATACTTGAAAAGATGAGCTATGAACAAAAGCAGCAATGCATTTCTTAATGTTATTTTTTAAAGTACCCCAAAAGTTACAAAATAGTAGTACATGCTGAGAATCATGGAAAAGATGTCCAGGGAAACAAGAAAAATGCATACCATAGAACTACACTAAACAAAACTGATCAAATAGATAAAGTACGCCATCAATTCCAAAGAGCCTAACGTTTGTTCCATGCATGACCCAGCAACCAAAAGTAGGAGCCAAGCTTTGCGAGGTGGCAGCCAGTTCATGCAAGGTTAAGTACTTATTAAATTACTTTTCCTAGCGCTAATTTCACAAGCAGTTTAAAGAAATAAATCTACTTGGAAATTGAGACGGTGAACACTAATGACTGGAAAGCCAACTGCACACAGGGAAAGTACAGCAATATTGATCAATTCATCCAGGGATCGAAGAGTTTATTCATACTTTTCAGCAAATATTTACCGTCTACATCTGGCGAGGCACATGTGAAACCATAAGACATACAAAGAAAAATAAAGCATTCCCTACCCTTATGTTTCATAATGTAACACAGTAAACACAGATGAAATTTTAATATAGCTCTTTGCCGAAACCGGTTTGGCTCAGTGGATAGAGCATCGGCCTGCGGACTGAAAGGTCCCAGGTTCGATTCCGGTCAAGGGCATGTACCTGGGTTGCGGGCATATCCCCAGTAGGAGATGTGCAGGAGGCAGCTGATCGATGTTTCTCTCTCATCGATGTTTCTAACTCTCTATCTCTCTCCCTTCCTCTCTGTAAAAAGTCAATAAAATATATTTAAAAAAAAAAATATAGCTCTTTGATGGGTAAAACACAGTTACAGCACCTAATTCAGTCATAAGGCGATATGGAAGGATTCGCAGAGAAAGTCATAGTGAACATGCAGACAGGAGGAGTGAGAGTGAACTAAGAAAGGAGGTAAGAATAGTCTCAAGAGTCTTCCAGGCAGCGGGAACAGCATATACAAAAAGTACATCATATGCCACTTCTCTCCTCCCTGCTCTCCAAAGGCTTCCCACTATGCTTAAAATCCTCAGTGCACATCATGGCCTAAAGGATCCTATATGATCTGACCTCAACTCATCTCCTACTATTCTTTCCTTACTTCCTGCCCTCTGAACACTCTGGCCTCCTTACTGACATAAGATACACCATGCACATTCCTGCTTCCAAGCCTTTATTCTTGCTGTACCCTCTGTCTGGGATGCTCTTCTACCAGATATCTGCAAGGCTCACTTTATTCAAATGCAGTCTTTTCAGGGAAGTCTTCCGTGACCCTCCTATCTGCCATACCTCACCACTCTCAGTAAGTCTCTTTTTCTTTCTAGCACTGAAAACCATGTATTCCACTACACTCCTCTTCATGCGATATCCATTTAGTGTCTATCTCTTTAATTAAATGGGGCCAGGGGCTTTGTCTGTCTCTGGTTCAGGGCACATTTCCAGTGCCCATAACTGTACTTGCATGTGGTAAGAGCTCAATGAAACTTTTGTTTAATAATTAATGAATTAATAAATGGCCTGAAGGCTAGTCCAGAGACACACAGTTCAGTGTGAATGGCACATAGGATATAAGGAGCTAGAGTAAGTCTGTTTTCTAGAAGCTATGACAACTCTCTTTTACTTTTCTTATTTTGGTCCTATACCCATCATACTCATCCCATTGGCAAGAATAGTTCTGTATCAGACATTTTCAGTTATTGCTAATCCCAATTCCCTCAGTATGGTTACCCAGATCCCGAGAGATCAACTGTAGCTAGAGAAGAGTGTCACAAAACCCCTGGCTTCCTTCCTTGGAAATGGCATGTATGTTTTTGACAACCTGGAATCTTATAGCTTGAAGTGATCAAGATGGTAATCTAAATACCAAACACCTGCTAGGATTGTCCTAAAGGAACTAAGAAAGTAAAATAAAACAGCAACAAAACATATAGACACACTCAGGTAGACAATGGAGGTGTTGAGGGATCCCTTCCATTCAAATTCATGTGAGTCAGAGAGATGAGGGTTTTTCAATTCTTCAATATCGGAAGCAGATGACAGGCAAACTAGTACATATTGGGCATTAAGTGGTTGGACAATCCCAGCTTGAAACAAAGGTGAACAGAACTGGAACAGACGCAGGACATAGGAGGTTCATAGATGGCCATCACTGTCATGTTAATATCCAAAATGGTTTTCATTGATGGAGTCTAATGACATACCAGAGTTACTCAGCTAAATACTTAAGTATTTGACACAGCTTATTCTGTTAATTCCCACACAGAATTATACATCTAGGAGGTGAGTGCTATCATTACTTCCATGTCATAGAAGAGGACACTGAGGTTTATAAAGGTAAGGTGACAGGGCTAGAACTCAGTCCTTTCTGGCTCTTAACCATTATTTGACCACCCAGGCCCTCTCCCCCATGCACCAACCCACCCATCACAGAGTAAGCTCTTTTATGTGATAAAGAAATATGTTCAACTCCCTGAACCTTGAAAGGCAAACAGAGTAAAGGGCGGGGAAGGGGGGCTGCCATCGCTCCTGCACTCCTTTCTCTTATGGTTGCCGGGGAGGATGCGGGGAAACAAAAACAAGGAAGGTAGGATGGACTAGGAACCATAGAAATAGCAGATCAGCTCAGAGATGACTGGGGAGATTCAAGATCCACCAACCAAATACTCCTGGGCTACAGTATATTCATTTCTCAAAATGCTCTGAGATTCTTCCTCTACCTGAAGTTCTCTCACTACTCATTTCTCAACCTGAACTTAGACTTCCACTGCACTTGACACTGCATCTCTAGCCATTTACAAGACTAAACCCCCAAGTTACACAACAGTGTTTTAGAGAGAGAACGGGCAGCGGCATCTTTTGATTGCAAACATCAAGCTCCAACCTTCTGTTTTTACTTCTGGGGTTTTGTTAAATTGACCTAAATATAGAAAACACTATTTAAACAAATTCTTTATTAAGAATCTTATGAGAGTGATGTAATTTCTGGCAAAGAGCAAAGCAAGTGAGTGAGAAAGTTTTCTCATTATTAAAGGAACAGTTATGTAACCATCCCACATGGAAGAGCCAGGCTGAAGTCAAAATGATAAAAGACTAAAATAGCCTTGCTTCTCTCCAAAAGTTAAGGTTACAGTGGGGGATTTCATGTGCAACATACTTCTCATATAGCCTCTGTCCTCTCATGAAGGCCTTCACTTCGTTGTCCAATGGGAAGGTGCCGTCATCCTTTCTAAAGCGGTAGAAGAGTTTGACATCCTTGAATTCCTTGTGTTCATCACACACTGAAACACAATATACAGAGAGGGGCAAATAAGAAAAACAGATAATTCTTATTTATTTACTCAAATGAATTATAATGCTAATTAAGATTTGTTCTACTACCTAATTTCTCAAGCACGCTACTTAATACATATAGAGTATATAAGTTGGTCCGATGGTTGTGGGTTATTGTTAAGCTGATTAACATATAGAGTATTTAGTGTGGTACCTGGAACAGAGTGAGTGCTCAGTATTATTAGCTATTATATCATCATCATCATCATTACCTATTAAAAAGGTCACACAAAAACAAACAAACAAAAACAACAACAAAAAAAGGTCACAAAATTCAATTCATCATTCATTCCACAAACTCTGCTTGAGCATGATATCGGGGAAGGCATCAACCATAAAGAATGAAATTTAGCGAAAGAGAAATATCAACATGTAATTAAAATAGGATGTGATAAGATTATGAAGGAGGTGAGGAGATATGGGGGCCCAAAGGAGGAGTACCCAGTATCCCAGGAACCTAGCTTTGGGGACTGGATGCTTCTCTGAAGAGTTTGCATGTAAGTGGAGATGTGAACAATGAGTAGCAATTAAGCAAAAATGAAGAGAAAGGGAATTCTAGCCCGAGAGAATACCAGCATGTGCAAGACCTTGGCCAGGGTTAGCGATTTTAAGGAGACATGTTCATGAATATTCATTTCACCATCGAGCGTAACAGCAAAAAGTTAGAAATAACCTCACAGTGTCCATGGATAAATGCATGATGGCACAATTATACATATAGCAGTGAAAATAAGAAAACAGGAGATACACTATCAGTATAGATGAGCCTCCCCAAAAGCACATTGATCAAGCTGCAAACGAATAAATACCCATCTCTATAATGATTTAAAAACAATATGATATGTTGCAAAAAGATGCACATACAGGAAGAAAAAGTATAAAGAAGTTCATGGAAATAAACCCAAATGCCTCTTAGAGAGAGGAAGGAAAAGAAGCTGGGGAAAGGTTCACAGGAGGCAATTAAAGTCAAATGTTTTATTTTGTAAATGGGTAGGTTCATATCTGAATAAAGATGTAGTCCTTCATTTCTCCTTTAGTGTCGCCTCACTCACCATGATGAATGATGCCGCGGTCTGCTAATTTCTGCATGAGTTTAATTGCTGTCTCTCGGTCAGAAGCCTCTTTGTGCTCAATCAGCCAGTCAATCAGTTCTTTGGCGACGAAGCAGTTTGGGTAGGTTTTGAGATGATGTCGCCTATCTTTAATAACCTTTTCCTCATGCAACCTGAGCCTGGAAAGAAAATTTGGCAATCATTTTAGAAATTTTGATGACAACACAAATTATTAAACCCATCCCAGAGAGCAGTGACAGGATGGAAGCTCTGAAGGTACCAGAGTGGCATCCAACTATTTCAGTGTCAGTGAGTGACTGCCACACTGTCAAGCCCTGAGGTCCTAGCGAGTGATTCCATCCCCAGATCTACAGGTGATACAGGTAAATGGGAGGGAAATACAACCAGACAACCTAGAGCTCTCCTGCCACTCAGGAGGCTGAAAAAAGCTCTCCCACCCCTCCCCTGCCACACTCCCTTCTATTTATCTCTTCACCAGGGGGCTTACAGCTTCAACCAGCCAACCAACAAAAACTCTACAAACTTGCTGAAACTGGGTATTTCCACTTCATTGCAGATTGCTCAGGGTCCACCATATTTGCATTCCCAGTCATTCATAGAACAAATATGAATTTATGACAATGTCTATTACCTGCCCATTAGGCACTTCAGGGCATTAGAGATATACATCAGAAAATACACAAAGATTCTTGCCTTTATGGGCCTTGTTTTCTATACAAGCAACAGTTAATCCTTTCATGAGGTTTATTAGGTTCCAGGTGTTGACTTGAGCACTTTATATAGATTGACTCAATGTTCACAACAACAATCTAATCAGAAGTTATTTTTGCTATCTTTTTTCCTCCCTCTCTCCCTTTCTCTCTTCCTTCCTCCCTCCCTCCCTCCCTTCCTCCTCCTTCCTTCCTTCCTTCCTTCCTTCCTTCCTTCCTTCCTTCCTTCCTTCCTTCCAGCAGAGAGAACTGAGACTTGCCTACGACCACTTGCCTAACTAAGATTTGGACCCTGATGGCCTCATTTCAGAGTCCAGCTTTTCAAAGGGCACATCATGCTGCCTCTAGCTGGGGAGGAGTAATCAAAAATCCAGCAGATGGGTTAAAGCTGTTGAATAAATTCAATTTGTATAGGCTGATGGATGAGTGTGGCGGTAAGTGGTTGACACAGAGCATTCCCTTATTCCCTTCAGAACTCAGTAACTGTTTTCCAAAAGTTTTAAACAGTCTGGAAAAAACAGTTTCTCCCATTTATCTTCCCTTCTTTGATCAGCCTTGCATTTTTTAATTATCAAGGGAAGGGTCTGAGTTGGGTGAACCATGAGATCACTTTCCTCCTTCTTCACCCACATGCTCCTATGCTCCTTCCGTCAATCCTCAACATTGTTGAGAAAGAGGAATGAGACATGAGAAAATCACAGCGACTGTGTGACCTGGGCAAGTAGCGTAACGTCTCTTCCTTTCTCTGTAAAATGGAGGCAGTTATGGCGTGCACTAGTTGAGATTTGGGGATATAATGTCTGAGAAGCACCAGCAACCCAGCATAGTGCCTGACACACTGCATGTCTCACCCTCCTTTCTCCCACTCCCTAAGGAAGGAACTGAATCATACTCTCACTGTTTTTTTTGTGTGTGTGTGTTTTTAACAGAGTGCACTAAGTGATATTTAATGGGTTTTGATATCCCAAGGGTCATGATTAGGAGTTGGGAGTATACTGGGCTGGAGCTCTGAGGCTAAGCTGTTCTTCCTTGCTAGACACTGTTATAGGCCAAGCAGTGTTCCCCTAAAATTCATATGTTGAGGCCCTAAGACCTGGTACCCCAGAATGTGGCTGTATTTGGAGATGGAGTCTTTTAAAACGCAATTAAATTACAATGAGGTCAATAGGGTGGGCCCTAATCCAATATGATTGGTATCCTTATCAGAGGAGGAGATGAGGACACAGACATGCACAGATGGAAGACCACATGAAGACACAGAGAAGGAGGCTATCTATAAGTCAAAGAGAGGCCTTAGGAAAACCAACCCTGCCAATGCCTTTAAAAAAAAAAAAATTAAGCCCTAACCGATTTGCCTCAGTGGATAGAGAGCTCCCGCCTGCAGACTGAAGGGTCCCAGGTTCGATTCCGGTCAAGGGCATGTACCTTGGTTGCAGGCACATCCCCAGTGGGGGGTGTGCAGGAGGCAGCTGATCAATGTTTCTCTCTCATCGATGTTTCTAACTCTCTATCCCTCTCCCTTCCACTCTGTAAAAATCAATAAAATATTTAAAAAATTAATTTTAGAGAGAGAGAGGAAGGGAGAGAGAGAGAGGAAGAGAGAGAGAAACATCAACTTGTTGTTTCACTTATTCCTGCATTTGTTGTTTGCATCTTGTATGTGCCCTGACCAGGGATTGAACAAAGAACCTTGGTGTATCGGGACAATGGCTCTAACCAATTGAGTTGCTGGGACAGGGCCCTGCCAATACCTTAATCTCAGATTTCTAGCTTCCAGAACTGTGAGAGAGTAAACTTTAGCTGTTTAAGCCACTCGATCTATGATACTTTGTTATGGCAGCCTGAGCTAAGACAACCAATTGTGGAAGACAGAAGGCTCCTGAGAAGCCTGGGGATGAAGGGCTCAGCTGGGGCATCAGCAGGGGGAAGGGGAGACATCTGTTAACTGCATAGAAACTGCCATTGGCCTGATGTCTACATTATCCCAAAATTCCTGGGTTGAAATACTGAACCCCAAATGTCTAACCACTGTGCTGTGCACCTGAAGCTAATATAATATTGAAAGTCAACAGTAATTTAAAATTTGAAAATAAAAATTTTTTAATTAATTTTTAAAAGAAAGAAATACTAAACCCCCAAATGTGAGTTATGAGGACAGTCAGGAGCATAAGACTGGGGCTATGAAGACCCGGCTCTGGTCCTGACTCTATAATTCCAGGCGATCAAACTTCTGAGCATGAGAGTCCCATTGGTAAAAGGGCATCTGCCCAATCACACTGCCACAATGCTCACTAACCGGGATCGAGTTAGCATTTGAGCCCTGAGCATGTGCCAGCCACAGTTTTAATGGCTTTATTGGTATTAATCCTCATGCCAGCTCCCAAGGCGGGTCATGTAAAAACCACAAATGATACCCATGTAAAGGTGTAATTATTAGTAAAATATAAATGAGCCCTAATTTAAAAACAAAACAAAAACATATTCACAGAGGCACTAAAGTCCTCACACGAATCCTTCTAATGAATTCAGTGACAATGACACTTAACAGGCTCAAAGTGGCAGAATGCGAAACATTAATTCTTAGACATGATGTCTGCCAGGAATTCAAGAATAATGAAGACCAATTTACTTAGAAGTTGAAATGTGGGATACGCTACCATATAATTTGGTAGAGGGAGAAATAGGTTATGAGCCAAAAGAGGAGTTTTAGCTCCTGTAAACTTTCTAGCTTTAATATATATATATATATATATATATATATATATATATATATATATATTAGATAATGTTTATCTTTAAATATTCCAGAATAGAACCTTTCAGTTACTACTCTTTGATGAACCCCAAGCTTGGTTCTAATTATTGAGCATATTTGATTCCCACCCTGCTCAGTGGGAAAGCACTAGACAGCACCCCTCAGCCCACCAGGGCCTGGTACATTTCCATGTTTAGAAAACTGAGCAGAAATATGATGGAGGGAAAAGAATTCTGGATAAGCAATATTTTCAAGTTTCATTGAAAAACAACAATTTTTCATAGCTCAACCTCTCATGGAATCGCATTCTCTAGAAAGACTGCAAAATGCTGAGCTCGGGGCTAAAAGCCACACTTTTAAACCCAGCATTTTGCCTGGACATGTCAGTCACATTGTCTGCCATGTCCAACATCCCATTTGTGTTAAACTATCTTCCACACCTTACCCACTCACACAGGGTTCAAACCCCCTGCCTGCTGTCTCTGCGTGGGGCATCCCTGCCCATGCCCACGGGCAGGTCACAGGGAGACCAGGAGCATAAGGCTCTGCCCGAGTGAAATGACAACGATCAGCTAAGCCAAGCAGAATGGCTCCCGCTGAGAATTAAACTAGAGTGAAGTTTTCAAGCTTTAGTTGTGCCATAGGACACTTTGTTGAAGCAGAAGTTGCCCAAATGTCAATGCGTAAAGCAGAGCAACGTGGGGTGCTCTGGCTAAAGGGGTTCAGCTGCCACGTCCGGAGTTTTCCTGATTTCCCCATTCAGTTCTCCCACATACACCCTCCACATCTTCATACTGTCCCCATGGAATCCTAGAACAAAGGTCAAAAGTCTGCAGCACTGAAGGACACTGAGTGAGGGGGGAGTGGGCGGGACAGCACAGCGAGGCTGAGGACAGAGAAAGGAGCCCGTGAAGCTGCAAATGAGAGATGGCAAGAGGCAACCTGAAGCGCCTTGGCCCTGTAGAGTTTTCCAGTCTTCTTCCAGCTGTGCACACACGGCAATAACCAGAACAGGACCAACCCCTTCCATGGCTGTGTAAGCCTCGATTCCCTGGATCCAAAGAACCTCCCCTACCCAGGTTCTAAGGAGCGTGTCCTGGAATCATTCCTTCCAAAGACCTTCCACCCTGACCCCAGGCCTCCTCCCTCCCAAGCTTCCTGGCCTCTCTCTCTCTCTCTCTCTCCCAGCACAAGCACACCTGCCCTGCAGTCTGGACACACTGGGCTCTTCTCCATCCCCTGAACATGTCATCGCCCGCCATGCCTCTGACCCAGACAGACCGCCTCTGCTTAGAATGCACCCTTCTCTGGGCTTCATTAATTCAAAAAATTCTGCTTGTTCTTCAGCCTGAAAGACACCTCCTCAGTGGACATCTCCCAGCCTTCTAAAGCCAGGAAACAACCTCTCCTCTGTTTTTTCATAATATTTTAATGACACTAATAAAGCATTCATCCCACGGTAGTGCAATTAAATGAGGTCAGGGATACGAAGACAGGGTTGTTTATTTAGTTTTAGAATTTTAGTGCCTGGCGCATAGTAGAAAACAGATCTTCAATGATATGAAAAACATTGATGCCTACTATGTACTCAGGATCAATCCACATCAGCCAAGTCAATCCACACTGCGCCACTGGGGAGAATAACGAATCATCTCTCTTTCAGCTGCCTTTTCAATCCCACTGGCTAAGGAAT